CGGCACTTAGAAAGGGACTCCGGGCGCGGACAAAAAAACAAAAAAGCACTCCTTCTGCTTCTTGGGCTGCTGCGACTACTCCTACTACCACTACTACTACTACTCCTCCTCCTCCTCCTCCTCCTGCTCCTGCTGCTGCTGCTGCTGCTGCTGCTGCTGCTGCTGCACCTGCTACTACCACAAACCACAAGTACTGCTACTGACCACTGGTACTGCTACTACTGCGATTACTGCTACCATGGCGACTACTTCGACGACCACTGCGACTGCCTCTGCGACTATTACTGCGACTTGTCCACACCTACGACTACGACTGCGACTGCGACGAAGACAGTGGCGACGACGACTGTCTCTCAGACGATGATTACCACGACGACGACAACGACGAAGGCCAAACCGGAAGAAGAAGAAGAGGACTTGTGCACGTACTGAGGACTGAATTTTTTCGTCCGAGAAGCCAGGCCCTTGCCACTCGCGTCTACTGAGCTCATTGTGGAGGAGCCGCCCACGGGTGTTGTGGCCAGGGCTGCGTTTCCCAGCTTCGACGTCTGCAGCAGGATCGTGCTCGCACGACATTTAGCAAAAGGCACATGTCAATAGGAGTATGCGAACCATACTGTGTTGCTTTAACCACGGAGTATGGAAAAGCTCACAGATGCTGAGGCACCATGACGGCCAGCTCTGCCGCACGCACTGTGGCTGAAGTCTCGTCCATCTCAGACGAGGCTGCAGCATAGCCTTAATGGTCGGTCCAAGCTTCACGACTCTTTCCTGCCTACGCCTCCGAAAAGACTTGAATCATTGTATACGACCTAGCGGCTGTCTCCAACGGCTGCGATGCTGCCGAGCAAGGCATTGCCTGCGGCAGCATCCACGCCGTCGGCACCCACAGCTGCCTTGGCTTCCCACAGTTTAGTGCGGGCACGCACTGTTAGCAAACCGAGCCGACCCGGCGCCGAAGTGCACAGCACTCCGTCGAATCTGTGCCCTGTGAACTGACAGGCAGTTTCGCGATTGCCTGATCATGTAAGTTTGTGTTATGACGCTGCCAACGACTTGGTCGGCAGACCTCTTGCCTCAGAATGCCCTAGGCCCTAGGCCTCAACAATATCCTAGGCCAAATCCGGTCACCTGCCACACGGCGAATAAGAAAAAGCAGAGGAAGAGCAAACCTATTACGGAAGATACATAGCAGAACAGTGTTGTGGCCGGGTCGCATCCAGGACGCTCGACAAGACTTCCGATGCCTTGGCGGCCGATTCCACGTCCGCCGTTCCAGACTCGCTTCCGGACGACAGGACCTGCTGCTTCGGTTCAGCGGTTTTTGGTCTAGAAATATAACTGGAGAAAACTCACAGGGTCTAGTAGAGCTTCAGAATAGGATCGATGTCCTTCCTGCGGCGTCCCCGTCTGGGGCTTTCGGGCACGTAAACCGTCAAAATCAGGAACCGCCCGACCTCCGTGAGCACCCCGCCGAATCGCTGCAAGCCTTGCCACACAGCTTACCAAAGAGGCCGAGACAGCAACACGTCGCCTTGAATGCCAGAAACGGATTATAACAAGACCTTGGTGACCTGATGCCACTTCAGGCATCAACCTAGAACCTGCCATCACTTTCCAATCCATCCGGGATCGACGCTTCTCCATTCTGGAGTCTCAAGTGTAACAAGCTGGGGCCCCGACTTCCGGCATCTGTGTTCACGATGGTGGAAGCTGTCTTGAGTGCCTGGAGAGCTGCGCCCACCCACCCAAGCCCGAAGTCTCAGGCTCAAAGCCTCAGCCCTACAACACCCGAAATGCGGGCAATGAAGCCCAAAGCTCTGAAGTCCCGAGCCCAGGAACGCTGCAGAAACAAAACACCCTCCTACTAGGAATGGAAGAAAAGCTGGACGGAAAGATCTGGCATGGGCATTTCCTGGCCTCGAGCTGCTGATCCTGAGCTGCCTTCTTGGCCGCGCTCAGTTCCTCGCTGGAGTTCGCGGCCTTGGAGAGCTGTGCTCTTCGACGAGTTTGAGGGCTCCAGCTCTGAGTGCTTTTGGGGCAGGCATTGCGGCTGCAAGGAAGGGAGGCAAGGCTTTGAGACTACAAAACTGGTGTGCTATCTTCAACATAACTGCGGTTTAACGACTTGGACTGATACGAGATGAGCGACGCCCTGCCAACAGAGGGTGAAAGCAGGTGGGAGGGGCGAATTTGCATCAGTTCCAGAACTGCGACGCTCTGAGCATCGAGCGATCGGCACAGACACGAGCGCGTCCAACATCCCCATGATCACACCAGCATCGCCGCTTTCCACAGCACTGGCCACGGCATTATCGATGGCGGCCGACGCTTGCTCCACAGTGAGCCCGCCTGGCAAGTTGCGAACACTCTGGAGCGATGGCGGTCCCAAATAACCAAGGCTTCCCCCACCTTGCGGAACTTCCACCAGGGGTCCCAAAGCAAAGGATGCAGAGATGGCTCCTTGTGCCGGAGTTACAGCTGCCTAAGAAACTTTGTGTGCGACGCTAGAGTCGACTCTCACGTGCTGTGGTCTGCTGAATTTCGATGCGTCCGTCCTAAAACATCCCTGACCACCACGGCCGTGAAGTAGGAGCCAGCTCCCATCTCAGCGAGTGCCACATGGCGTACATGTCACAGGACCGTTCAGGAAGGGAACCCGATGCAGCCATGCCACGGAAACTTGCCAGTTGGGTTCGGGATCTGACACATTGATTTGAAACGTTCCACCCAGCTTCGACCAATGGATAGGACTCGTGCTGTCCCGCCATTCCTGAGAGGCAGAAGCACAAGTGGCAGAGACGGAGACGGAGAGTCCCTTGAAGCGATGCCCTTTGCCATGTGCGAGCCGGGTCTCCACCTCGGGAGGCTCGAATCCTCCATCCACGGTAAGTCCTGCGGAATCCCGTCCCTCTCAAACCGAGGCCCTAGGCCCTAAGCCCAAACTCCACAGTGTCAGGTGTCAGGCACCTCCATCCGGAGCCACAGACAGGTTCCTTGGCAGTGGACCGCACGGCGCAGTGAGCTGCCGTGGTAAATCGTGCGACCCTACTGCCATACTGGGCTACTTTTTCTTTCCAAAACCTGTACGTGACACAAGCCTGCACTTCCGAACGCAAACTATAAACGCAATACACCTTGTTTTTTCTGCTATGACATGCCCTAGTGTAGTTCACCATCTTACCTTTACAATCAACACCGGGATTAGCTGGTGGCTTCTTCCGAGCAGCTGTGTGAGCGGAAAGGTGTAGAAGGCGTAGGTCACGCTTGCCAGGTCCTCGTCCACCCAACCCGGGGCCGTCGCCGTGAATTGCGTCGTGACGGCGGTCCCAGACAAGGGGTTGGGAGCCACTGTGCCCGCAAGAGGAGGAGCATCGGCGATGAACCTTATCAGGTCCCTTTGTGGCAGAAGGGTGCAAATCCCCGGCAGCACCCAGTCCATCCTAGGAACACACCCCCGTCTTCTAAATCGTTGCTGTCGAACCCCGAACCGCGAGGCCACGCATTCTGCCAAGCATCTCATTGGAGTATGCCATCTTCACACCGTCCAGCTCTGCCTGCTGCAGGGTCGCCGAAGGTTGCAGCGCGAAGTTGTCCATCTCTGCCTTGGGATTTCGAGGCCCGGGTCCCAGGGTCAGGGTAGATAAAAGGGCTCCTTGCACCCCTCAACAAAACCTACCACACTGAAAGCTGAAACCCGCCAGAAACCCAGAGACCCTCGAAGAAGGCGTCGGAGCCCGGATTGCGGTCTGGCTGCAGGGGTGCCAAGCTGCAGAAGGGCGATCTCGTAGTATCTCCCTGATTGGGTCGGTGTGAACTTCAGGCTGCAGAGGGACTGGTTGGGCTCTCGTGCGCTTGGCACTTGAGTGTGGAGATTCGTCTGGACCCCAGAACACGACAGTCACTGTGGCCTGGCAGAAGTCCCCAGCCCACAAGCTCCAGAACTGAAGACCTGTCAAAAATCCCCAGCCACCTGCTGTCTTAAACCGACGATCACTGATGCCTGCTTGCAACAGGGGGCTAGCCGGGGTAGGCTCATTCAACACGCGAGCTCCCTTCATCGAGGGCCTTTCACCAGGTCCTGGCCCCGGAACTCTGAAGAGCGCAGCGTCAGCTCCGTTGCGCGGTTGGGGTTCGTCTCCAGGGAAGTTTCAAGGATGGCAACGATCCGGGAAGGAGGCGCCGACTCCTCAGCTCAGGATGCGGTATAGCCACAGCATCCTACGCCGTCATACTGTCCATCATGGTTAGTCGTAGAAAACTTCAAATCACAAACCTTGAGACTAAGTCCGAAGCCTGACAGATTTTGGACCACGAAACCCATGTGACGCGTTATCACCAAGGGTCCACAAGAGCAAGCCTCCAGCCGCAGCTCTCTGGTGGGTTGCAGCCTGGCAAAGCAATGACGCTTCGGACTTGTGGCGGAGGGTTTGGATTTGGGGTTTTTGAATCTCAGACTCTGTCGTAGCATATTCTGTGTGCGACTCCGGCCTTCGATCCCGGACACAGTCGCGGAGTAGTCGCCAAGCTGCCCGCCCACTTGCGTAGACACGGCCTGTTTAGCATGCAAGGCTTCGCACTTTGGGGTCAAGTGACGCACATGCCGGTGCATAGTAGGCCAAGTAGTGCTTGATGCGGCTTGATGCGACTTCTTTAGCTTCTTGTTGTTAGGTTCTGTGAACGCAGGGCAGTATGCACTAGACTGCTTGGCCGTTCAAGTGATCATGTCGGCCTGGCCTGTAGGGGCAGAAGAAGTCTGAACCATTCTGAACCGCTCCATAAACCGATCATGCTGGCTTATGAGGACACACCTTACCCATCTAGCCGACCTGCCCGTGTTGACATGATCACAAGAATCCAAACGTCGAAGCAGTCGCAAGAGAGGCATTATTTCAAGTGGTGGGGTAGCCGGGGTCCATTATTTCGATTTGTTTGGGCAACCCCAAACGTGAGCATAGTCAAATTCGGCGAGTTCTCTTGTTCAACGGTTCTCAACTGTTTGGCCAAGAGCCTCCAGATTGCTCCATGGGACTGAGAAGTCCACTCGGGGCAAAGTTGGGGTCGCCTGACGTCGATTGGCAATCAGGCTGCGCCATTCTCTAAGAGCATGTTGCATGTCCCTATGACTTCTTTGACATGCGATGTGATTTCAGAGCCGTGTATTTACAACAAGCAGTCAGCCAAGCTGCAGTTGAACTCGTTGTCGTCGCTGTCCTTAGCATCTCGAGCCCAGAGCCCACCAGTCTTCAGTGCGAACACTTGGGAAGAAGGCTTAATAAACTCTACATCGCCAGGAAACGTTCCTGTGCTCGACGTGCTCGTGAAGGAGGTGGTGGTGCTGGTTACGCTGCTGGTCGACGATGCACTCACCGTCGTTGAAGTAGTGCCTCACAACTCTAGGTTTCGGGGCTGTGATTTCCCAACGATGCTCTGCTGCCGAGGGCATCGAGCACGCGGAACGGGGGAAGCAAGCACACAGCAGCACACATCGTGCAAACATTATATCCCAGTCAGAGCACTGGAAACAGTGACAGAGGAAGATGAAGTACTGGATGTAGACGTCGTCGAGCTTGAGCTTGTAGATGATGACGAAGAAGTTGAGCTGGACGTGACAGTGGTGGAACTGCTTGTTGTAGAGGTGCTGGTCGTGGTTGTGGACGTCGTTGTGGAAACGGTTGAGCTTGTAGAAGTCGTTGAGGAAAACGTGCTGGTCGAAGACGTTGTGGACGTGAGAGTTGCAGTGGTAGAGGAAGTGCTTGAGCTAGAAGTGGAGGTGCTAGTGGACGACACCGTTGTAGACGTTGTACTCGTGATCGACGTGCTGGTAGAACTGCTGCTGCTCGACGTCGACGATGTGCTTGTGCTTGTGACGCTCGTTGTTGAAGTGGACGTGACGGTCGTGCTTGATGTAGTAGACGAGGTTGTTGTAACTGTGCTTGACGTTGTTGATGTAAGGGTTGTTGAACTAGTTGTGGCTGTTGTGCTGGTTGACGATGTTGAACTACTACTGCTGGACGTGGAAGTCGTAGAGCTGGAGCTCGTGGAGGTCGAGGTCGTGGAGCTACTTGATGAACTTGTGGAACTGGTCGAGCTGGAGCTGGTGGACGTGGTAGTGATGGACGTGCTGCTGGAGCTGCTGCTCGTCGACGAAGTAGTGGTCGAGGATGTTGATGTAGTTGTGCTGGTGGTGCTGGAGCTACTCGTGCTTGTGCTGGAAGTCGAACTTGACGAGGTGCTGGTTGTGGATGTTGTGGTGAAAGTTGTGCTGGTAGATGACGTGGATGTGCTGGAGCTGCTCGTGGACGAAGTAGACGTTGATGACGTGGAAGTTGACGAGGTTGACGTCGAAGTGCTCGTTGTTGATGAGCTGCTGGTGCTGGAAGAAGAAGATGACGTGCTCGTCGTGGACGTGGAGGATGACGTTGTCGAACTTGATGACGTACTGGTGGTCGACGTTGTGGTGATACTGGTTGATGAAGTAGACGTCGACGTCGAGCTTGTGCTCGTACTGGAGGAGGATGTCGAGCTTGTACTTGTTGAAGAGGTGCTCGTGCTTGTAGTCGAAGTAGAACTGCTGGAGGTCGATGTACTTGTAGAACTTGTTGAAGAAGTTGATGAAGAAGAACTTGATGTTGATGAGGTCGATGTGCTGGATGTCGAGGTGCTACTGGATGATGATGACGTGCTGCTTGTTGTTGAGCTGGACGTTGATGTTGTAGAGGAAGATGTTGTGGACGATGAGGTGCTACTGGTTGAGGTGGAGGACGTAGATGATGACGATGTGCTGGTGCTGCTGGTCGAAGTGGAAGAGCTGCTTGTTGATGAGCTGGACGTTGACGTCGTAGAGGAAGATGTTGTGGACGATGAGGTGCTACTGGTTGAGGTGGAGGACGTAGATGACGACGATGTGCTGGTGCTGCTGGTCGAAGTGGAAGAGCTACTTGTTGATGAGGTGCTTGTAGAGGACGTTGAAGTGGAAGTAGATGATGTTGATGATGAAGACGTGCTCGTGCTGCTTGTGGATGATGAAGAGGTGCTCGTTGATGATGTGCTGGTGGATGATGTTGAGGTTGAAGTGGATGATGTTGATGACGAGGACGTGCTTGTGCTGCTAGTCGAACTTGAAGAGCTGCTTGTTGAAGAGGTACTGGTGGACGACGTCGATGTTGAAGTAGATGATGTTGATGATGATGACGTGCTTGTGCTGCTTGTTGATGTGGATGAGGTGCTTGTTGATGACGAGCTGGTTGACGAGGTTGAGGTGGAAGTGGATGACGTTGATGAGGTAGAGGTGGAACTAGAAGACGTGGATGTCGAAGATGTGCTGCTGGAAGACGTGGACGTGGAAGACGTCGAGCTGGACGATGTTGATGAGCTGGTGGTGCTCGTAGATGACGTGCTCGTGCTGCTGGAAGAGGTTGAAGATGTTGAGCTGGACGACGTGGATGTGCTCGTGCTGCTGGTGGAACTAGAAGACGTGGATGTCGAAGATGTGCTGCTGGAAGACGTGGACGTGGAAGAAGTCGAGCTGGACGATGTTGATGAGCT